AAAAAAGGGGGGGGGGGGGGGGGGGGGGGGACTCAGACACCCCCCTTTGTTTGAAAATTCAAAATATTTTATAGTCAAAACTTTCATGGGCAAGTTGTGTTCCAGCATTTTGGAATTTAAAATTTGTTTGGTTTTGGTTTCAAGAGTTATCTAATTTTGCATCAAGGTGATGATTTGGTATTTGGTTTAGTTAATTTGCAATATGAAATTTTGTATCAGCGTCCAATTTATATATAATTTGGGAATCGGTATGTCCAACTCATCAGAAATTTGGTATGTCAATTCGTTTAGTTATATGTCCAGATTATCTGAGATTTGAATTTGATATTAGGTCTAATTAATCTCGAATTTGGATTTGAAATTTGCTTTCATTTGGTTAGGTTCTATGACTATGTTTTTGGCTTCATCAACTTCAGAAGGTTAACTCGGTTTTATAATGATAAGTTATGCTCATAGACCAGATGATGTATCTCAGCCCCTGCGTAGAGGAGTGCCGAGTGACTCTAGCCCTAAGGGGGAGGATAGTTCGAATGGGTGAAGGCAAAACTTACATTATTCAGTTGGTTTTACAATGATGAGTTCAACGTATAGACGCCTAACAAGATTGAGATTTGGCGGATCACGTGCAGTTTTTGTGTTCTTCTTTGCAAACTCACAATACCCTCAATTCTTGTGTTCTTGGCCTCCCTTTCTTTTTGTCATTCTCTTGCTTTTTCCCTTTATCCTATAATTGTTCCATAGAATCCTTCCTCAATTTGGTATAGATCTCACTTCGTTTCCTTGGCCAATATTCTTATCCACCACCTTCAATCATACAGACCCGCTCAAGTTCCAAACCATATATACACTCCCATCCACCACACCCTTCGACCATAATAAACCAATATAAAAATTGTACTACCTGCCCTACCCCTATAAAAATAGCCCTCACCGACCAAAAAAAAAAAAAAGGGCTGTTCAAAATTAATAATAATAACGTTCTTTGGTGCTGTTCATCAAGGTTGCTGTTCCCAAATACTCCAAATTCATGAAGCAAAAAAAAAAAAAAAAAACTAACATATCACATAGATATTATCCAAAACGATAAACCCCACGCCTGATCCAAAATCTTAAGCCCAATTAATCTCAAAAACCTAATCCGGCCCTACCACCACTTCATCTTCTTCCATTGACTACACCTACCTCTAACAGCCGCCTGCCACCAGAAGCTCTGTCACCTGCACTTTATTCATCTACGCCGCCGATCGATCCACAACAACCAAAATCACCGTCATCTCCGTCTCTCCCGATAAGCATCAACTCTTCATCTAACCTATTATCGATAATGATTTCTACTGTCCCGCCTGCAACCTCTCGACCAGCAACTCACACATCATTCAGCTACTTCACACCGCCATCCACACACAAATCGCCACCTCCAAGCTCAGAATCTGTTCTTCTAGTTTCTGCTTCCGTCGTGCCCCACCGCCACTTCCTCTATATCGCGCCAACAACTACCCTTGTCCAACCCACAGCCTTCACCACCAACCACCCACAATTAACTCGCTACCGAAAGAAGAAGAATAACAATAGGCAAATTTTCCAACAACACCAATTCTTAAAATTGAATACGGATAGCTTCTTCAATAGGACAAATTCTAGAGCCACCATATTGTCGATCTGATTGGGTGTGATGAAGTGAGACTGGTTTCTACTGTGCACCTACAAAAACTCGTTTTGAACCCCCGAGAGAGAATACCAAATTCAATTCACTACTTCTTATTTACGTGTTTGTGGAGATCAAATCCCAAAACAAAAAATATAAAAACAAATTGTTTTCGGTTATAACACTTGTGAGCTTAGATTTGATGTATATTTTAGGTACATATGCTTTCATGATTATTTATGCTTTGTTACTTTTTTTAGCATGGTTTCCAAAAAATATGAAGAAAAAATTGAATTTCTCACTTGAACTTGAACTTAATCTCATCGCTCTTAAATGAAGTTTTTGTTTTCTATAGAGCAGAATTGTTTCACTAACGAGGTACATTCGAGCCATCGTTGTTGCACTTATTTGTTTATGCACGCTAGTCTATTGTGATAGTGCAATTGTGCTTCTCGTATGAATTCCGTGGTTGTTTCTACGAGTAAGTTGCACGGGTTATCGCTTAATGGGATTCCTCATCAATATATAGGACACAATTCCGTGGTTTTAACAGTTCTGTTCTTAGTCTTAAGACTCAGGCATCGAAATAGCTACACTGCTTTCCTAAAGATGCAGGAATCTAAAATTACTAGGGATGTATTTTGGGCATTTTAGATGCAGTTGTCAACATTATACTGGTGCCGAATACAATTAACATGGGACATGAAGAATTGTGTCCTATCTATGATAAATATGGTAAGGATATCAAACCTCATGCAATGCGGGAGCATCATTGGTTCCATCTCCAGTTACAGCAACAACTTCCCCTAGTTTACGCAATGTTTGAACGAGCAAAAGCTTGTCGCTGGGAGACGACCTTCCCATAACCTGTACATCATTGACCCAATACTCATTATTCGCTATTTGATCAGCAATAAGAAAAGCAATAAAAGATAGTCATATATATCTCGTTTCATCAACACCATACAGATATCTTTTTTGCAACTTGCTCTCTCTCTTTGTCAGACAACTCACGAAATGTCTTCCCTTCTATAATACTGTGCTCAACATTATCTGCATCTGAAGAAAGTATTCCACATTCCATAGCAATTGCTTTGGCCGTTTGAAGATTATCTCCAGTTACCATACGCACCTGATGATTGACAGATGTAGGTTAACACTGATTTCATCTCCTCTCTTTTACTATAATCGAGAGAATGACACAATATCTTATGAATCATTCTAATGATCATTCATAATATGAAGGCTAGTATATTTCTGGTTCTTGTACTTTTACACCCATACCCTTCATAATAATGTACTAAATTAGCTGCATCTTAAAATTCTCTAACTACTACTTCCATGCATGTGCATCGCCCTTGATTCAATTGACGAAATTGCCCTTGTTGATATAATTTCACTAAAATATCTTAAATTATGTGGTGGGCAATTTCGTCAATTGAACTAAAAGGTGGAAGTCAATTACACTGTTGGCGAGAGATGTTGCAGCCTGCAGGGGATGGTAGAATATTGTGAAATATTAATGAACTTTCGGCCCATTTTCAAAAACTATAAAAATGATTTTATCGTTTCAGCAGCATGAGACGAGCATTTAAGAAATTGACATTAAAGTGCTACCAAGACCAAATATGATGGGCTGCTTAGAATTAGAGTGTGACACGAATTCTATTTTGAAGATAATTGCAAATTTTAATAAAATTTGCGACTTAAGAATAATTCTATTTAACATGTTTTTAGAATTCTATTCGAAATCCATTTGACAAATTCTAGTTGGAGTTCTATCTGTAAGTTTTATTGGGAGTTGGAATTTGTGTTGGATTTGAAGAAATCAAGATAAAGAAACTTTTGTGCATTCTATTTCATCTACAACTCCACTTTTAAGACTTGGATTGTTCCCTATATATATTTGACTCATTTTTACAATTTAGTGTGGTTGGTTTTACCTCATTATGAGTTGTTAACCTCATTATAGGTTGGATTAATCTTATTGGAAGTTTGTTTATGCCCATTATTAGTTAGACAAATTGTAAACTCAAATTTTTATGTTATTTCTTCGCATTTCAGTGAAATCTCATTTACTCTACAAATTATATTCTTCTTATAAGTTTGTGATCTTTATTTCATATTATGTCTATAATCTCGTATTGTCTTTAACAAATTGGTATCAGAGTTATTCGATATTTTCCGCTTTTCTCAATAAATTGGTATCAAAGCATCTGAGTTTACAACAAAAGCTATGGATCTTACTGCAGCAACCACCTACACAATGTCCATGTATATATATAATTTGGATATTCTTAGAGTGAATACCTTAACACCAGCATCCGTACATAGTTTCACTGCATCTTTGACACCTGGACGGCAAGGATCCTGTGAAATGTTGCGTGTTAAAACAAAAATGAACATGTAATAAAAGAAAATGAATATTCTATGAGTAGAAATGTCATCTATAACTATTTCTGATTCACCATAAAAAAATTGTGCATGGCTACTGTTATAAAAAATAACAAGATACAGCGAAAGAGACAAAAAATAATGAAGAAGATGAATATGTAAAAGGATGAAGACTTGAACACGAAAAATGTATCGTTGTCCTCAAACGATATTTACCTCCTCCACAATGGTTTTAAAGATTGAAATTGGCAAATAGTTTGTAGGATTAATCAAGCCTAATTGATGAACACCAAAAGCAAAGTATTTCTTCAAGGTGAACAAGTGAAAAAATGAACATTTGATTATGTAAAGTGACAAAATTTCTTCAAGGTTTTTGAATGAATAATGGAATGAATTTTTATTATTTTTTGAAATGAAAACTATCATGTATTTATAGTTTCCAAACATCCCATACGAAATGGTTCCAAACTGAAGTGAATAGGCAAAAAAATTTTAAAAAATCCAACCTTGAATTATGCGACCACATAGACTATAATTATGCGGTCACATAGTTATAGCACCTGACGCACCAAAATTCTTTGCGGGCGCCTATGCAACTGCATGCGTATTTTATGACGCCAAATAGATTTTTTCCTTCATTTTTTCAATTCATCCATCCACGATCCTTTTAATTCATCCAACCACGATTTTGAATAACAAAATTCCAACGGCTACAACAAATTTTACCACCTTAGGTGAGATGTTTAAGCTTCGTGGAGCATCATGACTTGGCTTGGAGACTTTACGAAGGCATGTTCCATTCTAATATATGGAATTATTGACATAAAAATATATTTTTAAGTGTAATTTCTACTTGATTCAAAGACGTCTAAGTTACATGATATTTTGAAAATGAGAATTTATATAATTTTTCAGAGTTCCCACCTTTATACCAACAATTGCAAGCAAAACAAGATCATCTTCGGGTAAAGTCCATTGCTCCAATTGTTCTTCACCGGTTGGAACCTTGTCTGTTTCACAAGTTCTGTAAGCAATGGCAACGCACCTCAAGCTTTTTGCAGCCATAGTTTCAATAGCATCTTTGAAAAAAACCTGTAATACCAAGTGCAATTACTATCCAAATTTCAGATGAACTATTTTATCCGCACATTGTAATGAGTCCTCTCATTTCCATGTTAAGGATTATTGAAGAAAATAAAAGACCTTCTTCTCCATTCCTCTTTTGTTTTATGCTTTTTGAACTTGTCCTTTGTGGCAACATAAATTTTATTTCCTTGCTTTTTTTTTTTTTTTCCCTTTTTTTCCCCTGAATTTCAGTATAGATCTGAATTTCCTTAAGCTAAAAGTTTGTATCTTGTGCTAACCTTATTGTCCTCATCAATAGACTGCAAGCTACCTTTTGCATCCATATACTGTGAACATGAGGCTAAAATTACTTCAGCTGCTCCCTTCCAATGTAGATGAACTTGAGAGTCAGTCTGCCATAAAATAAGAAGGATGTGCTAAAAATTAATTTCACCCTCAAGTAGGGGATGCAAAAATACGGTCCATGGAATGCTTCGTAAAGTGCATCTTACATAGTACGAAAATTTAAGTTCTTCAAAACATGAGTTTCTCTTGAAAGATCAAGAAACATTGTTCAATAGATTATTTTGTGACATCAAATTGATTGTTAATGAACACACATTAATCAGACTAAAGATCTATACAAATATTGATCACACTTTCCAAAGTTCTTTGTTAATGGGACAAGCAGGAAAGCAGAACAAATCAGGTACCCGTCCTCGTAATGCAACACCCGCTCGTTTCTTTGTGGAATTAAAAGGAGAAACGTGGAGAATAATAGATTCTGATCTCACGGCATCAAACTTCATCCCCAACTGCATAACAAAATTGAAATCATGTAGATAATCTGTTTCAATAAAAATGAAACTTGAATTCAGATTTGCTAGTATATGGCACCAGAATTACCTTGACACCCCAATGAAGAATAGCTTTTTCAGTGGGAGATCCAGAAATGTCTATTCCTGCACCGTCCTATAAACGAACGAAAAGACACGATGAACATGCATTATAAATAACGCATAAATTTTATAATGAAATAAAGAGGAAACGGCCAAGCAGCCATCAGCAGCTCTAAAAAGAACATGATGCTAAATAATCAATATAAAACCATGCTGAAAGTACAACGCTGAGAACGTGACCAAGAGTTGGTAAAATGTTTGCACTCAAATATGAAGTAGAAATCATTGAACTTCTGACACCAATTATCTATTACATGCATGGGGGAACGATCACGAGGCGTTCTTTTCACGCTATACATACCAGGACTACTAATACCATTCCCCCATCACAAAATTCTAATGTTGTAAAAGACTCTTTGCCAACTCATTGTAATGGATTAACCTTGTCCCCTTGCAGCCAGGGTTTCAAGATAGAAGACGTGCACAGGGGAGAAAAAAAGTACCTTAGATGGAAATACACTGCCTGCAGTATTCTGAGCTATTCCCTCATCTAGAAGAGAGGAAACTGCTGCATTCAGCTGTGAGCCATCTTGAGGAGGATCAATTTGCTTTCTCCCAACATAGGCCTCAACTACTGTCATCTGTATCAAGGTGTAGTTTGCCAGATTAGTTGCTCAGAGTAAGATGAAAAATGAAAAATAAATACACGAGTAAAAGTCTATTGCCGTTCACCATGAACATCATGCACCTATATATTTTCATTCATAAAAAACTAAAGAGCCTAAAAGTACAGAATGACGACCTGATTCATGGTTAATGTTCCAGTCTTATCACTACAAATGGTTGTTGCAGATCCCATAGTTTCACAAGCTGAAAGCCTACGCACCTGAATACCAGTACTGTTAACAATATCGCTGAGAAAAGCATAATATGTGGAAAATGTGTGCACAGATATATATCTATATCTAAATGAAACAATTTGAGCACATACCAAAGCCTTGTCAGCCATCATTTTCTTCATAGAGTACGCTAGGCTGTTGTAATTTCAAAGGCAAAACGTCAATCAACGAACATTGAAGTGGAGATGAACAAGGAGGCAATTGGTTACCAAAATCAAGCACATTTTATGATACTTACGTCAAGGTTACAGCCAGAGGAAGGCCTTCTGGGACTGCGACGACCACAATTGTGACCTAAACAGCACTGCAGACAGTAAATAGAATAGAAATTATTGATGAATTCGAAAATTTCAGAATGCAAGAACTCACTGCAGCGGTAATAATTTTTATGGCTCCATCAACAGTTTGACCAATGCTAGTCTTCCCACGGACAAACTGAACAGATCCATCAGCATTTTCTGAATTCCCAGTGAAAAACCTGAGAAAATTATGTCTCATGGTAACTAACCTGTGAACCATGTACGAAACCAACACTAACAGTGCTGAACTTACCTGGTCAAGAGAACGATGAGCACAGAAAGAGCCACAGTCAGCCCAACGATGCCTATGAAAGTGGCAACCCCATTCAGGCGTACCTACATTACATCATCCGAAGCCATAAATAGCTATGATCCGCTTTTAGGTAACTACTGATGATAAGAGGCACCATTACTTGATAATTACCTGCAATGGTGTTTCTTCCCCAGTATCTTCTGAAATACTAGCCATCAACAATCCCCATTCAGTATTAATTCCCACACCCGTTACCTAACAATCGAATAGATATTTAATGAAGTCTCAAAATACAGAGTCTGCACAATTGAATTTTAAATCACAAATGAGGAAAATAGAAATATCGGACACTGAAGCCAAATAAAAATTTATGCAAAGTACTTTCGTTGTCTTGCATGAATACATTGATCAGCATCTACGTGCTACTGTTAACTTATACTAGATAGTTAACATTCAAAATTTATGAACAACAATATAAGCCTTATTTCCCTTTAACTTGGGGTTGATTGCGTGAATCCTTTTTTGCCTCTCCGAAAGGTTCATTGCTATATCTGCTAAAAGATCCAAGCAATTAGGTTCTTAGCAACCATTACCGGCCGTGTTAGTTTTGATCTACACTTCACTCTTTTAACATGTCCTACTACCATGGTTTTCATATAGAATGGAGGTTTCTTTATGTTTATGAAAGAGATGTCCCGGTTACTACGTCTGTAATGCAATCTGTAATCTCTCCTAGAAAAACCATCACTAACGTAGTGACTAAAGGAACAAAACAAAGGGTTACAATATAATACACCCAAAAGAAAGTAAATTCTAGGCGTATGTGGTTCAATTACTGGAATCTGGAGGTCAAAAGCTTCTGTCTTACCAGCATGGTTCCAGCACCATCTGCTACCTTGCAACCTGACATCAAAAATGGTGATTTCTGGTCTTTGTGAACCTACGAAGTAACAGCACACTTGAGAAAAATAAGATCTACAATCTAAAATATCTTGCGCAAGATAACCAGCTTACGATCTTGCTTTCCCCTGTCATGCTAGATTCATCAATGGCAAGAGAATGACCGTTTATCAAGATTCCGTCTGCAGGAACCTAGATAAGATACACAGAGAGATTCTTTTAAGTAATGTACTGTCTAAGAAATCATACCCAACCTAATCAAATCACACATCACCTGATCACCTATCTTGAGAGGTATGACATCGCCAACGACAATGTTATATATTGAAATCTTATCCCTTCTACCACCTCTTATAACCTGCAGACACATTGTTAAAAATAATGATGAAAAATAAAATGTTACAACTAGTATTACTTCTTAGCTCGTATTACCTCCACTTGTACATTTCGCTTTTCCTCATTCAGATTTTGAAACTGGAGTGACTGCTTGTAATCACTGGTTGCTGACCAGAAAGTACAAAACAATGTAAAACACAATTGTGAAATAAACTATCTGCATACACGATTCAAATATTCTTCCTTAAGCACCAAGAACAAAAGAATCAATTGATGAATACAAGTAAAAATTCAAACATGGTAACACAAGATAAGAGTTCACTCCTGCAACCCCGAAGAGGAGGGGGGAAAGCAGATGTCCCCAGTGGAATTTGGTGAATTTTTTTTTTAAAATTATTTCAAAAAATTGTGTATTGCTTTGCATGAAAAAAATAATTCTGTAGTTAATTTCTGCCCCCATAGAACTTTGTTCCTGGTTCCGCAACCGGGAAAAGGGCCGGCACCTTCAATTATATATTACATAAATCATTAATGTAAGAACTACTTGTCTTCCTTGAAAATAATCTCATAATGGATACATTAATATTAATGAAGAAGAGATGCCATATTTATAACAGATCTCTACATTCATTAACAATTAATATATATTAACATAAAATATAAATAAGTCAATCGGCGGAAACTAAAAGCTTTCTCTCTACCAAAATCAAGAAACAAGAAGATATTTTCCATTTAATTATTATTCCCACTTTGTCTTGGAAGGATAACTGTTTTGAAAATATCACCCCAAACCCCTAGTTTGGAACATTTCCAACTCCTCTCCAAAGGAAGGGGAGAAAACTGAGCTCTTTGATGTGCTCCAGGAAGCACTGGACTGCCTCAAATTTGGTCGTCATCTCAAACACAACTTAAAAGAAGTTTCTTGAGAATCCAATAAATGGTTCGAGTAAGGACAAAAAATGAAATATTACCAAAAACCTTCTATCTATTTGAGATTTGTACCGTTTGCTCTACTTTCAAGAAAATTATCAAAAAAATTAAAATGGATATTTATACATACAAAAAATGGAGGGTTAGAAAAAGAAAATAGAGAGAAAATGAAAACAGCAGTTGTTATATTCTTACCGGTAACAAAGATAACAAGAAGTACAGCAAAGGTAATGCTTCCTCCATCATACCATCCATCATCCAGGCCCTGGTAAACAACACAACAGATAACTTAGACTGTAAGCATCATAAAAGTTGGGCTTTCCATCATATGGAGATGGAAGTACTTATCATAGTGTATGGTGTAGATAGAAAAAGCAATACAGGTCGTAAATCATACTTGTGCAGCATGAACTTTATAAATGGCATGGAATTGGTTGTCTGGAAATTAAAACAAACACCCTTTCAGATCTAAGACTACTATTTTTAGAATGCATAGAAAGAGTTCTCAGAACTATGATTCAGGTAATTCTGATGTCCATGCCAGCATGGCATAGTTGAAAGATGGCACTTGTGTGGAATAAAAAGAGAAAACTTTCGGTAGGAAGAGTGAAGGTCCATGTGATTTTCCTTGAGATGTTTTTATAAGAAATACATGATTTCATTAAACTATATAAGATAAAAAAAAATTTATTTGACAAGAAATGAATAATACTACAGCATCCCAGACTCACCTCTGTTTTTATGCCAAGAGCCAACGATGCTGCAGCGGCAATTATTAAGATGATGAGGGTTAAATCTTGCCAAGCCTCCCAAAGAAACCTCTAAATAAAGTCAGACATGAATAGAGGGAAAAAAAAAATTTGAAAAATTTAACAATAATTAACTGTAAAACATATGAAGCATAACATCCCCAAGCAAAACTGCATACCAAGAAACTTCGTCCTTTCTTTGTAGGATATGTATTTGACCCAAAGGCTTTCCGTCGTTGTGATAATTCATCGTCACCAACAATTCCAGTTTCTGTGTTTGTTTTTAGAATCTTTGATAACCCTTTAACCTGAAGAGAATGGCATAGTAAACATATTTCTGTACACAAACATGAATAATTAACAAAAAAATTACAAACGAAAGGAAATAGAATTGACTTGCCCCTCCATATTGTTGTAGTGCAGAAATATTATGGTCCCTGCTCATTGAAGCAAGTTCTTCGAGACCAATTCCATAATCTCCATTAGGAGTTGGAGGAGTTACTGCTGTACCTAATACTAAATGAGCAAAAAACAAGGCAAGGTTGTTGCAGAAAAAGGATATTAATTAACAAAATAGAATAACCAAAAATCTATAGATAAACTACATAAATAACCTATAATCATTCTAAGAACTACTTAAAAAGAAAATTTGTCAAGTATATACCGATTGCTCGCTGTCCTGCCAATTTGAAGAGCAATGCAGCCTACACAAGAAATTTTCAAAATTAATATTTGATTTTGAAGAAAATGAGACCAACTAGGAATAATGTCTTACCCGTATGACTTGAGCATGTGCTCTTATCATGCTTCTTCGTTGTTCTTTTTCATCTTCTTTTTTCAAATCCAATGTGTACCGGAACCGACGTGAAGCATTAAGAACAAGTGCAGCTTCCTGGAAATGATTCCGGATATGCACAAATAAAAAATATATACTAGTAAAGCTGCCTTATAAGCACGGATAATACCAAAACATCCATATACAGAAACAAATTATACGTAGTCATTAAGTAAGGAAATGATAATTAAGCTACGGTAGTAGAATGAGAAAAATAGGGGCATTAGTTAACTTCACAAAACCTTTAATCCTTATATGATCACAAAAGAGAAACGAAAACAGAAGACAAAAAGGCAAAGGAGGCTAGAGGCAAAGATAAACAAGAAAAATAATCAGAAATTACACCTCAACCTTTCAACTTTACCCAACAAAACTTTATGCCAAAAAAACAAATTAGGCCACCTCGGAAAGGAGAAGAAAACCAAGGCAAATTTTGCTGGAAAAAAAAAAAGAAAGAAAAACTTAATGCCGTTATCCTTGTCCATGTGAATTTGTAGCTATCAAACTCCACATGAATGTCCATTTCTAGCACAGATACTTGGTCAGAGCGGCATCCCTATGAACCATTTAGTTTGTAACTCATAATGGAATTGTTGGCTAAAATATTCTTATGCTCTGGGGATGGAATTTCAACTTAGAAAATTCAGTGGACACCAAAACTGATAAGATAAACCAGCGAAACTCAACGAAACATCATGCATACGACTCATCATCTCGCCTCTATCAATTTATGAAAATTGTGCAGCCTTCAGATTGTTGAACATTTAGTTGCATGCTTTCAAAAATCCATTGGCAGTATTAATTTCTGAAAGCAATGCAAGTACACATTACAAGTATGAAACGGAAAAGGAAGCTAAAACAGTAAAGTAAAATTTATCAATCATTCATCAACAGCTATTCGTTGAAATGAACAAAAAGAAAATGGCCAACACCGAATTATTGAATGCATTGTACGGAATTTGGAATTGGAAAATGTTCTAATACACTAATATCTTTAACTTACTCTCCAACGCTTGAGCGATTCATGGGACGCATTTTTGGTGTTGCCAATGTCGAAAGGATCGGAGAATTCTTCATCGGCTGCCCAGCCTTTTGCGCTGGAGGAAGCAGCATCAACGTCGATGACGCTAGCCTCCGGGTGAAGCTGTGGTTCGGCAGCGGTGGGCGGCGTCTGAGAGTCGTTTCCAGTCGTCATATCGGCGGCGGAGTCCGGTGGGACACAGCCGGAAGAGAGATGGCACCGCCGCTTCAGCGTGGCCACCACTCAACAGAAAAAGAAGAGGAGAGAATTATTGGCTCCAATTTGACAAATGAATTGAAAATCAATCAAATCAACAGCCCATGCAGAAAATGTGCAAGCTGAAAATTCATGGTGCATTTGTTCTTGATTGTGTCTATGGTTATTACTATTTTTACAATAACAGAAAGTAGAGGTAATCCGATTTGTTCGTGATAGCATCTGATTATTGTGAATCCATTGCATTTACCAGTTGATTGAACATTGGCATTTGGGTGAGAGGGAACGAGAATTATTCGGGAAAGAATTGAGCCATATATATAAATATATATATACATCCTACTTCACCCCCATAGACGAATGAGATTCCCCCTATCCCACACAATAGGATGGCAAAAACAACGGACAAATCCGATACCAGTGATTCGGGGTGGGGTATTCGGGTCGGTGACGGAGCGGGAAATTTTGCCCCGGGGCGGGGGCAGGTAATGGGTGCCCCACCTCACCCCACCCCATTTAATTTTTTTTTTTAGAATTCAATACTTTAAATGGAAAATTTCACGAAATTTCATCATTTTAATAAAAAATGACAACTAAAATTATTTGTTTAAATCTAATGAATTGAGCAATAAAAATAAATTATCAAAAACTTAAAAATAAAAAATAAAAATTAAATGGGGATAATAAATGGGTAACTGGACGGGGACGGGGTTGGGAATTGCTTGGCGGGGGAGGTTGTCCTGACCTCGCCCAGTCCCGTTGCCATCCCTACAACACAATCTAAATAGTGATGTGCATAGGTGTTGACGAAATCAAAAGATGTGATTGTGTCACGTGTAAAAGTGTAAACAAAAATATAAAGAATGATGTACATGTAGCATGATTGTTTGAGAAATTGAACTTCCACGAAACTTCCACGAAACTGATGCAATGTGTTATTTCCTCGATTGTACTCGATGTGACATATTTTATCGGTCATTGGGACATTCATGTTTCATGTTGAACTAATTAGGGTGACCCAAGCTAGCTAATGGTGTAGTTTCATGATTCAGATGATTGAAACACATTACAAAAATACATATGATTTAATTTTTATATGTTACTAATATGTTGCTAGGTGATTATATTTTAATCATTACATATCAAAAAATAATTTTTATTCACATGTTTATAGGATCTATTACTACTCACTTATTAATTACATATTTCATAGGTCTATAATTTATAATCACTTAAATTCTAATTTAATCACCTATCAAATATACACTTATCGACTATGCACTTATACTGGCATGTTATATAAAATGTACAATTTGGAGCGTTAAATGATGATTGTACTTAATTGCTATTGATTTTTAAAGTTTTCAGAGAATTGATCGTCTACTTTGAATGTCATATCTTTCGATCCTTCAAACATGTAAGACACATTGTTACTTGAGTTCTTTTCTTAATTCGTTTAATACTTTGTTACATACAAGCAAATTTAATGCTACTTTGAAATCAAAGGTATTAGTAAATTGAGCATGACTCATACTAATAGATATATTTATCTATTTTTTTTTTGATAACAGTGGATGTTCGGGCCAACTTGCGCGTACCTCGACTAATTCCACGGGGCTCTGAAGTTTACGGCCAGATATATTTATCTATTTAAATCTCGTTCTCTGTGAATTTGAAAAGAATAATTCGGTCGCTACTTAATTGGGTTCGTTGTTAGTTCTATCGAAACATTCAGAGCATTGAGATCTTTACGAAGCACAACAAAACTTGCTAGTCAATTTCAACTCTCTCGTTTCTAACATATTCTATTGAAAACTTGTTACTCTTACAAACAAGAGTCACTTTAATTAAATCTATTGAAAATATAAGTAAGACTTCTTAATTCGTCTTTAACTTTCAGACATAATTTATTTTTCATAAAAAATGTGATACATGCCAAATATAAAAAAAAATGGTGAAACGAAGTTTACCGGAAATTCCTGGTGTGCTTGATTGTTACAACATGTCGCTATTATGAGCAAAGTTTATGAGAAAATATGGTACATGCACAATAGTAAAAAGGACCGCATGAACAGGTCCCGACAGGCTTTTGGTAGAACGAAGTTTCCTAGAAATTCCTTGTACTCTTGGAAGATCACAATCTATCAAATCAGTAAAAACAACAATAATAAAAAATTTAACAGTTTATTATTGTCCCCCGTAAAAGTCCCAAAATCAAATAGTGTTATTTTATACATCGACAACTGAAAGAATTTAAGATTTTGTTATTTGTACAACCCCTCCCAATTAGGGCCCACTGAAAAACTAAAAAATGAACAAGACTAAAGTTACATCAATTTTGATAGAACCATGCTGCACTGTCAGGCCTGTAAAAGATCTGACAGTGCAAATGTGAGGTAGGTGGGTGGGTGGGTGATAGCCATCTCACATACATTTGGTGGGGTCCACGATTAAAATAATCGTGAACCCCATTCATGAAAGAGGGCGGTCAAAATTATTGTACAATTTTGATCGTACATTAACCATTTTTGTTAAAAAATAGCAAAATCCAAGAATCTATTGTCCAAACAGACGTGAATAGGAAACAGCATTATTGACTTGGAAATTATTGGAGGTCCTCTGATAGAAAATGGCACAGTCAATAGTGTGAAAAATCCATTTCGCCATTTTTAGCCCTTTGGTTTGGTCAAAAATTAGTAAATTTTGATATTAAAAAATTGAAAAAATATGTGATTGAAAAATTAATAAAATTAAAGATTTTGTTAAATGTATAGTTAAAAAAGAGTTTTAAATAAATAAGTTTTAAAATATGAGACCAAACAGGACTTAATAATGTCGATAAGTCGATTTATTGATGTCATATATTTTAGTTTACATTTGTTACTTGATATATAGTCCATGTTTGACATTCCTTACTTTACTTTAATTTATTTTTCGTATTTATTTTCAACCACACATTCACATAACAAAGTATTATTCACATAAAATTTAAATTTTTTCTTACTTTTTAATTATATTTTTATTAAAAAAATATTATTTAAAGCAATATTTTTTAAATTTTAAGGATATCAAATAGTGGATTTTAGGGTCAAACTTTTGGTCACTCACTAACTAGGCGTAAGTTTTCATAGATTTAATGTGTTGATATTTGTATATGATAATTATATTTATGTCATAACTTTTATAAATAGATTATATTTTAAGTGCATCTTGATTTTTTTAATCACATTTTTATCATCAATTTTTCATTAATTAGCATGTATTATCTTGATGATTTTTTTTTCTTCAAAAATTCTATCAGCTTAGTTCAAAATAAGGGGCGAATTATGCAGTCGCGCTTTTGTATTTATGTCTTGGCTTATTTGAAAATACGATAAGCAAATAAGTGTTTTTACATTTCACCTATCAGAATTTTACAAAAATCGTCATAAATGGGACAAATGTACTAGTTAATGAATGATTGTAAATAAGAATGCAACAAGCAAAAGGTGGGGCATAAGTACGGGTGGCAAAAGGGTTGAGTAGCTCGTTGGCTCGACTAGTTAAAGCTCGGCACATGGACGGTTTCATCGGGCGAGCCGAGCCTCGAGCTCGTGAACGGCTCGTGGGTCATGCCCACGAGCCTAAAGTTCACGAGAATGTAAAGCAGAAGTAAAAAAAAAATACGAGCTTGTGGGCCGAGCTCGGCCAGCTTGGCTTGTGCTCGAACGAGCTTGAAATGCTCACTAGGCATGGGTATAAGGAAATGTTAAAAACATTTAATACATTTAAAATGCTGTGCATTTAAGCAATTGTTATGTCCACATAGCCACCCATGGTAAAATTAAAAAGAAAAATGTTGTCCCTCGGGACACATCCAAGTTGGCAAAGGATGGACACTGCTGGGCTTGCAACCTCAGGGTGGGGAATTCGATTCCTGGATGAAGCATAAAGTGATGGCATCGGAATAGTCGTCGGAATCGGAGACGTCGCTGGAGCGGTCGCCGGCGTGGTGGGGTGGGGGGGTTAATTTTATACATATATATATATATATATATATTTATTTATATATTTATTTATTATTATTTTTTTTTGCAGCATGATCTGAATGAGAGGAAATATTATGTCTTGCTTTTATTTTTGTTATTTTTTTTCTATTTATTTTAACCTTTACTCACTTTCGAACAATATCCTCAATTTTTCCCATCAAATTCTTCTCATAAACCTTTTATTTGTCTCGTTAGAAAATTATTAGAAGAACAGACAAAGCCTTATTTGGCTCTTATATTTTTAAATAATTGAAATAAACTACAAAAGTTTGACAAAATATTTCCTCTCTCATTTCAAACTAGGTTAGTAGAATATTGGACGAAAATCATCATATAAGACATTATATATACAGTAACTTGCAGAAAAGGAAGTAGCACTGGAAATGCATTGTCGTCCTAGAAATTTGTGCCACTAATCTAGAATTTCATTGATTTGATTGGTCGTTGAGGTTGGCCTTATTAGGTCATCGTTACAAATAGGCTTCAGCTATGACATCAGGTAATGATAGCCCAATGTCAAGTTATCATTTTTTGTTGGTAACTGGTTGAAAATGAGGTGTTGGCGTCAAAGTTGCCAAGTGTCATTCAAGGAGTGGTCGGTGGAAAGGTGTGGCAATGTGGTAGTGATTATATCTCTTCAAATTACGACCGTGGTTTGTCCGTTCTAATCTTTGGGCTATTGTGTCCAACCTTAAGGTTTAGAATAGACATAGTAATCTAAAAATATTTATTTTAATCAGGTGGAAGGTCGGACTCCAACAGTAGGTTCTCTTAACATAGTTTTTAAACGTTGTAGGTCACCATAGCGTGATCGGAGTTGTAGCACCGTCAATGGCTGTATTGCATCCCACAAGTTAAAAATCTTAGCTCCGTCCCTGGAGTTTACTAATTTCATTACTCGCTTCTACTTGAACACTCCAATAACTTTAG